CCTTATTATTTTTTTCTTGTAAAATAAACCCTTATACTTTATTAATATATACACATTAGGTCCTTTTCACCGGATTCTACAGATTTTGCTAACGTGGAAGGGTTTATTTTGCAAAAAAAAAAAAAAAAAAAAAAAAAAAAATAAGGATTAAATGTGTACATTTCAAAAAGTATCTTACCCTATCAAGTCATTTTCCCTTTCTTTTATTTTGTTGAAATGAAATACCCATGTCGCATCCACATATCCACAACGAGATTTTTCTAACTTTTATTCATCATGAAAAAGAGGGAGAATCCCGATCTCCGGCGACTCCTTTGTGTGTTCCTACACATCACCGGTAGCAAGGAGGAATGATGGCAAAAACAACAAGGTCGAAGGGGGAGGCGAGAGGAAGTAGAGACGGTAGTTGGCGGCTAGGAGCTGCTCTGGTAGCCCCCTCGTCGATTCTTTCTTCTTTTTTTGGAAACATATCTCAAAGATGGAGGCAAAGAGAGACAGATCGGAGAAACACAATAGGTAAAGGGTGTTTGGCTGTTGTTGTTCGATCGGAAGGAAGAGAGACGAGAAAGAGAAGGGTCGCTGCTCTTTTCTTGTTGCTGGAGGATCACCCACCTCCGGTGACTAAGCTAATTAATTACTATTTAGTGTCACTTGTGCTTCCACATCAGCAAAACATGTAGAATCCAGTGAAAATGAACTAATGTGTACATATTAATAAAGTGTAAGGGTTTATTTTACAGAAAAAAAATAAGGATTAAATGTGTACAATTCAAAACGTATCTTACCATATTAAGTCATTTTCCCTAAAAGAAAATTCGTATATGACCGGTATACCGGGTATAATCGGTCACAAGGACTCCATTGTTACAAAAAATAAAGTATAAGAGTTTATTTTACAAGAAAAAAAGAATAAGGACTAAATATATATATATTTCAAAAAATATCTTATCCTATCAATTTATTATCCCTTTATAGTAAATCAGATTTATTTAATATAACATGAAATACTTTTAATCTTTAACACACACACACAAAAAAAAAAAAAAAAAAAAAAAAAAAAAAAAAAAAAAAAAAAAAAAAGGTACCTTTCCCTATTTTATGTACTATTTTTTGAACATTAAAATATGTTTGATGTATTACTTTTAACAAATGATATACGGACATACTACTGTTAACAAAAAATATAACCTTAAAGAAGGTAAGATAAAATACTTTTAAACAGTACCCATCCAAAGTTGATTTAAACTCGATTATTAGTGATTACATTCAATCGTCTTGAAATTCTTTATGTAGTTCCAAATTTGGGAAGGATTTTATTATACAGAAATCATCATCGTTCTCATTTATCTACATGTCAATGAATTCCGACAAGCTGCTGGGCCTTGGTACGAATGGTATGGTGTGGGACTATGAGTAGTTGTCGTAGGAATAGGTTGTTGAGTTTGTCTCATTATCATTATCCACACATTCACATTTTTTTTTTGAACAGGCAAATGAAGAATTATATAAAAATAAAGCCCCATCAAATTGCTAGGGAAAAGTACATCAAAGAAGGAAAGCAAAACAAACACAGGAGAAATAAAAAGCACGATTACAACCCGATAAAAGGGTTTAGACACCAATCTGACCACCGAATCGAATCACATTTTCCTTTATATTTGATCCAAATGAACAATATCGACATAATGATATCCATCAATTTCGTCGGTTGCAGCCTTTTGTTATTGAACACTATCATTCAGTGACTTCCAAATACTCCACATAGTTCCATAGAAAATTCCCAGCAATCTCCTTTTTTTTCTTTGGACAATTCCCCCAATTTGATGCATAATCGAGTGTATCGTGAACCGTGGAAAAGTTTGCAGGCTGAATGTTGCACCATTTTAAGATCCATTTCATTATCGTTTTTGCATAAGAGCATTGAATCAACATATGATCTGATGTTTCTTCTGCCTCTCCACAGTGAAAACACATTGTGGAGGTTACATTGACACCTCGTTTTGATAAAGCGACAGATGTCGGAATGCGCTCCTGTTTTGCTCGCCATATAAAAGTCGACACCTTGATTGGAATCTCCTTCACCCATTCGAACCTCCCGATATCAACATAACTGTAACTGTCTAATTTCCTCCTTAATGTGTTGACTTGATAATTGCCATTGCTACTGATAGGGCAAGTCCATTTCAAATCATCACCTTCGTTTGTTGATTGTTTTTCCATTACCATGTTAATTGTGATACCGCATTTATCTAAATCTTTTTTGGAACAAGCGATGTTGTTCCAAACCCCAGGTAAGGTTTTTAAGGATAATATGTGATCAAGTTTTCCTTGAAGATTGTGAATGCTTGAGATAGTTTTTGCCCATATTGATTCCGGCTCAGAACGAAATCGCCACCACCATTTTACGATCAAAGCCATATTGAAAGCTTTGATCGAACCGACACCGAGCCCCCCGTCACTTTTGTTAGCAATTATCTTATTCCAAGATACCCAGTGTATCATGGAATTACCCTCTGAACCGCCCCACAAAAAATTCCTTCTTAGTTTTTCAAGCTTGTCGATTATCCCTGCTGGTGCGACAAAAAGAGACATGAAGTACGTGGGCAAATTTCCCAAGACCGATTTTATGAGTGTGAGCCTTCCTCCGAAAGATAGCGTCTTGGATTTCCAAATGGTAAGCTTTTTTTGAAACCTTTCAATTATCGGTTGCCAATGTTTCTTTAGCCGCATATTGGCTCCGATAGGCACCCCCATGTAGTTGAATGGGAGATTCGCTGGTTCGCACCCAAGCGGAGTCGCCCAACGAGCAACTTCTTCAAAGTGTGCCCCGACCCCAAAAACTCTCGATTTATTAAAATTGACTTTTAAACCTGATGATACATGGAAGCATCTTAAAATTCTTGCCAATTTCTTTACGTTGTGCTCCGTCCATTCACCAATAAATAATACATCGTCGGCATATAATAAATGTGAGACGGTTGGGCCACCCTTTGGGAGTTGTAGCCCTTGAAAACGCCATTGTTACAGGCCTCCTTCATTGCAACAGTCAAGCCTTCCATTGTTGTAATGAAAAGAAATGGAGAGAGCGGGTCGCCTTGTCGAACTCCCTTGGATGCTATGAATTCCTTTGTCGGGGTTCCATTTATTAGAACCGATGCTTTTGATGACGTTAGACAGCCCTTGATCCAACCCCTCCATTTCTCACCAAAGCCCATTTGATACATATTGTTGTTCAGAAATCCCCAATTAACGGAATCAAATGCCTTGTCAAAGTCTACTTTGAATAATAAAAGCTTCTTTTTTGCTTTTTTCGACCATACACAAATCTCGTTCACAAGTAGAAGTCCGTCTAGTATGTTTCGACCCGCCACATAGGCTGTTTGGACTTGATCAACACATTTTCCCATAACCTGCTTTAGTCTCACCGCGAGAATCTTTGCAATGATCTTGTAAATACACCCAATCAAACTTATTGGACGGTAGTCTTTCATCTGTTGTGGATCCTTGATTTTGGGTAAGAGAGAGATAAATGAGGAGTTACAGGATGAATCAAGTTTCCCATATCTTTCGAAGTACTTCACCACGGCTGCAATATCACCAAGTAAGACATCCCAATATTTCTTAATAAACTTGAATGTGAATCCATCTGGGCCCGGGGATTTGTCATTTCCGCATGCCCAAACTACGCTTTTGATTTCTTGGAGAGAAAAAGTAGATTCCAGATCATGCTTATCCTGTACAGAGATTTTTCGAAACCGATTGCTCTGAAAAGTCGGTCTGACCGGACATGTTTCGAGAAATTTTGATTGAAAGAACTTGAGAGCTTCCGCTTTAATCAAGGCCGGATTAGTGCACCAATTACCGTTGATCATGAGACCGTTAATGCGATTTTTTCTATTATTGTTATTAATGAATCCATGGAAAAGCTTTGAATTTTCATCTCCGTCCATCGCCCATCGAATTTTTGATTTCTGTCTAGCATCCATCACAACCATCTTTTCCATTTCAATAATGTCTTTGTAACCAACCCTTCTAGTTTCAATCTCCTCTGCAGATAATACCCTGTTTTCAGCATCTATATCAAGTTTGTGAACCTCATCTTTAAGTCTTTTTAGCTTTGCCTCTTCTTTTGAGTAGTCTGTTCTTCTCCATGCTCGAAGTGCCTCTTTTATATGTTTAAGTTTGCCATTTAAGTACAAGTCTGGGGTACCATAACCAGCAAAATCATTCCAAGCTTTAATGAAGACCTTCTCGACCCCTTCTCTTGACAGCCATGTGTTAAACATTTTGAACGGGGGAGGTCCAAAGTTACACCATGAAGAGGAAAGAAGAATCGGGCAATGGTCAGAAATTTCTCTAGGTAAGGCAGTGACGGTCGCCGATGGAACAAGATCAACGAACTTAGGACAGACGAGGAAACGATCCAACTTGCTCATTTTGAGATCGCCATTTCGAAAATATGTAAATCTATATCCCCCCCATTCTCATGTCAATGAGACCGTTTTCATGAATGAAATGGTTGAAGTCTCTAGCCGATCTAGCACAAAAAATAGAGTTAAATCTTTCATCCGAGCGACGCACCACGTTGAAGTCACCCAATAATATCCAAATCCCTCCTTTATTTTTCATCATATGTGTTAACTCCACCCATAGAGCTTCTTTATCTGGAATAGATTGCGGCCCATAAACATTAGCGAAGATGATTTGTTCCTGAATTCCTACCCAATGACCCACAGTTGCAATGAAATTCCTGTTGGAAATTGATTCTGATTGACTAAACACTCGTGTATCCCACATGTTAAGAAGCCCTCCTGATCTTCCAGTAGCATTGATGCGAGCAGAATCCACCTCTCCAGAGCCCCAACACGCCGAAACGTCAATGTTTTCAGCATCATGTAGTTGTAACGCTAAAAAAGAAACCCTGTGTTGTGATCGTAATCTTCTAACCCACTTCACCTTGTATTCCTCCCCAATACCTATGACATTCATGGATAAGAAATTCATTGGAAACCGACATTTTCACCGGAATTGCCTAGAATTGCCCCGAGTACAAGGTTTCTTGCCTCGATATTGAAACCGATTAGGTTTCCAACTGCTGCAGTGACCTCAGATTCCGCTGCAAAGGGACATGATGCGATTGTATTTGTAGCCTGTGGATTGCAATCAGAGATGGGGGCATTGTTGGGTTTCTCCGATTGTAAATTTTGTGTTTCAATCTCATCAGTCAAAGGTGGAAAAAGAGGGAATGAATTTGCTTGAGGGGAAAGTGAGCATCGGACCCTTTTCCTTTTGTTGGATGATCTGTAATTATCCTTTATTTTCGAACCCAGATTTCCAGATGTGTGGATTTTATTATTTTTAGGGAATGGCGCAAAGCTACCAATTTGGGCTAATTTATTAATTAGTGACGTTGGACTTAGACTATCAAATAATATGGGCCCCACCGTATCCGTTTGATTGTTTTCATTATCTCCCATTAAATTGTTTGACCCGACATTACTTACTACCATTGTATTGATTTCTTGATTTTTCCCAGGTGGCGTTTCCTCTTCTCTATCCATTTGGTTTTCACATGTGGTGACATGCTCTGACTCCTCGATAATCGTAGGTGCGTTGGTCACTGGGGATTTTAATGGAACCATTTTAACTTGCAGAGCCGCCGGTTTATCTCCGTTTGAGTTTTCCGGCATGCCGCCGACATTATCGTCTTCCGCCTTGTTGTCAGTTTCGATAATTTCACCTTCTTCCTCCTCATCCATGACCACATCGGAGTTGGCGACATCTTTATCACTGTCTGAACCTTCCACATTGGAGTTGGCGACATCTTTATCACTGTCTGAACCATCCACATCGGACTCCATTTCTTCCAATTCTGGTTCGTAAGGCTGGTCATCGGAGTCAAAAGTGAATGGAATCCATGGCTCTTCCTCATACTCTACAATTGCAACTGAAATTAGCCTTCCGTTAACCGGAACAATTATTTCGTCATTGAGCTTTCTTTTCATGTATGTAAGAATTCGTAGCTTGATACAAGAAAGATCAATCCTGTCTTTGATGCCATCAAATGGGGCCACGACTTTTCCGAAATTGCTCACAATGGCATTGATGTTTGAGTTGCACCAAAATTTTAGAGGTAGCCCAACGATTCTGACACACGTAATTCTTTGAAATACCAAATTTGTGTCACCCCCCATTTTTAGCCATTTGAAGGAATCCTTCTGGTTATTCTTGTTTTCCAGGAAATTAGTTGCATCCACCGTACTGTTGAAACTAAGAATGGCTGACATACCCCCAACATATTTTACATCAACTGTAATGTCACTATGGATTGCCATTAAAGCAGGGAGGTGGCCTAAATGAGAGAATGACATTGTTTCACCTATGAGTGTACTTTTTTGAATCCAACACTCCATATCAGTGTCAACTTGAAGATGAGTAGGAAGAATATGTGGTGGAGAAGGTGGAGTTGACTGTTGTATACCTTGATCTTGTTTTTTCCCACATAGTACATCAGCGAAAGTAACTTCGCCAAAATTTCTTGATTCCATTCCTTGATCATTCTTCTGTATTGGATCGTGTCTAGGTTCGGTTCCATGTGGGGGGCCAGTGATGTTGTGGTAGGCGGGAGTCCCGAGTGATAGTTTTTCGGCCGTGTCTTTCAATGTTTATCTCTGGTACGTTGTTTCTGCATCTTGTTCCATTTAGTTTTGATTCCATCTCCTTAGTCAGTTAATATAGATTTAATAAAGGAAGATTGCATATTTTAAGGGATCATAGATTCAATTAATTTTAAAAATATGATTTTACGAATTATTAGGTTTTTAATTCAGACACTCTGATAGAATATGTTTGAATATATACAAAAATAAGAAAATTCTTGAACCATAAAATAATAAAAATATTCTTCAACATATTTTTCTTGTAGAATAACAAATTCTCGAACCAACAATTTAAGAATTAAAACAAAAATTATATTAATTCTTATAGAATACATGTAACAATTGCTAAGAAATACATTTATTGTTAAAGAATAAAACTAAAAAAACTTTCAAAACAGGAAGGAAAACATCAAAATCTAACAACTACTAATACATTCTAAAAGAATAATGTGGTCCGTTTCAATTTTGTGGTCCGTCTTCAAGCATCAACTTCTATGATTCCAACATAATTGGAATTTGTGATTCCATTCCAACATAATTGGAATTCATGATTCCATTCCAATAGAATTGGAATCTCACTAATATCATCCATTAAATCATCTACATAAACATACTTGATACATTTTCAGAATTCAACCTTGTCAAGATCCTGCACTATCCACATAAATGAAGTGTTAAATTAGGAAAAAAAAAAAAAAAATGAATCAATTCATAAAATGCAGCCAAAAAACTGGTCAAGAACAAATTGTATGAACATAAATTGTGGTGGTTTCATCGAATATGAAACCAGGCTCCGAATGAACATAAATTGAGTAATTCACTGCATCAGCATTCTGCACATATGTTATTTACTCTATAGATTTATGGACAAGAGAACAAATCCCAGCAACTTAAGATCTATGAATGATCCATGGAAGTGTTCGAAATTAAATTACTAGCTATCAATGAAGTTTTGGGTGTTTAGATAAAACATATTCTTCAATTTGCTATAATCGCTTTCAAATAGTGCATATAAACACCCCTTTTAAATTTTTAGTAATTCAATATTGATTAAATCAAGCTATGTATTCATCTGATTAACCGTATTTAAATCCAATCAAATGATACAAAAACGAAGAAAGAGATGGGATGATGATGATAACTGATTAATGGATGATTTAACACTACAGAAATGTTTTTAGCACTAACCTCGAAGAAGCTTTGCTAGAGGAAATCAAGGGGCAGATCGCGACGAACTAGAAACAAGTAAGCAATTCTAGGGTTTCCTTCAAAACCCTCATCATCGATCATCAGAAGCTGAGATCGCCGATAAACTCGACCCGAAGAGGACTGTGGGGGAGTATCATAATAAAACTAAATCCGCGCAAGTGTCATGACTAAAAAATGATGCTCATAAGAATCAAAAGCTTCCAAATAAGCCACAAATTCTGGGATTTTGAAAACAATGAAGATCTCGTCGATTGTCCCCATTGATCGACTGATGCCTTAGCTCGATCTAATGAGCGGTTGAATATGAATGGGTACATTCAGATTCAGAAATCAAATTCAATTATTGATGGGGATCGGTGGAAGTTTTTTTTTTTTTTTATGGTGGAATAGGGTTTTTGACAGTGAACGACCATGTATATAAGAATGAGAAGAAATTAGGTCAAAGTCAAAATAATTAGAATAGTTTTAGGAAGTATTTGGGAAGTTAATTATAAAATTACTTTATTACCCTTATTTATTTATTTAATTATTTATTTAATTTTGATTGGTCCACATTTATGCATACAATAACACAATAATTAATTTAAACAAATGAACCTAACTCTATATATATATATATATATATATATATATATATATATATATATATATATATATATATATATATATATATATATATATATATATATATAACAGTAAATAATAACAAGGTTGAGTTACTTGTCAATTGTAGTTTGTCACACCAAATAAGACGAGCCTTCAAATTAAAATTAAACCGAACTTCATAAATCATAATTGTTAGTATGTATATCTATTTAGTTAGCCCAATAGAGCTTGGCAGCTCTCATAGTTATCGAACCAGTCTCTTAGCCCGTTATGTTTATATAATTATACTAGGGATTGTTGAAGGGTCGTGATAATCATAGCTCTCGAGAATCAATTCCAGAGTGGCTAATATACTCGAGCGGATTATCATGCATTCGGATTATTTTGTGATGGAGCAAGTCAACAAAAGTGTTCATGATCCAATCAAAATCATCATTCAAGGAAATTCTGTTGTGCATCTATCAAACAGTACGTTTTCCAAATGAACTCCATATCTTGGTATGAGAACATTTATGAAGAAATTAAAGCAAATCCACATATAAAATATATGCTTAAAGTGAAATACAAACCATTGATAGGAAAATCCAAATAATTTATAGATGGAGGTCCAACAAATATGACGTTTATTATAAGAAACCTCCACTTCTAAAACATCAAGGTAATCTCTCATATGGGTGTTGTAAGCATTAAGATCCATATAAAATTTTATAGTTAAGAGTTTTAAAAAAAAAGTGTCATGATATGTATTTTTGTTAACAATGAACTAACCCTCGCCAGGTTCACCACCTCTCATTGATTCATTTTGTATATAAGAGACCATCTCCTCCTGAAAGAAGAAAAAGACAAAATTATTTATTGTTAATATTGTCTTCCTATTTCCCAAAAGATAGCATACACTAAAATTACATATAGTGGCACACATTTTTAGTGGCATATGATGTGTTACTATATCTGGCACTTATTATATGACACTAAAAAATTAATATATTTAATGACACTTAATCTTTTGTGTCACTAAATTTCATAGTTATGAGTGGCATAATGACTTGTTGTACCACTAAAACCTTTTTTTTTAATTAAAAATACCATATAGATAATTCTTATAATAACTAAAAATTTTAGTTATAATATTAACTAGAGTAAATTGCAAAAATGGTCCCTGTGGTATACATTTTTTTGGGGTTTTAGTCCAAATCACGACTTTTTTGGATTGATGGTCCTTTTGAGCTAGTTTCATTGCGTTTTTGGTCCCCCTGAATAGTGGAATGACGGTAATACCCTTATGTTATTTATTTTTCATTTATTTTTCATTTTTTTCATATTTTTTAAATCTAAATACTTATTTATTTATTTAACTAATTAAAAAAATAAAAATCTCTCTCTCTCTCTCTCTCTCTCATGTTATCCATCCTAGACCCATCTTCTTACCATTCTTTTTCTTCTTCCTTTAGAACACTCAAGAACATCTTCGCCGCCACCACCGTTTGATCACCATTTGCCACAACTACAGCCCACCACCATTACAATCCACCACCTCCATATCCACGTAAATCATATCAGATGAACACAGATACATACACAATATCAAATTAACAGACACATGAGATCGATTTTTCATCCTGGTGAACTTAAATCAAACTTTCCAGATCTGATTAACTCAAACAAAATTTCCAAAATTTCTAGATCTCATGAACTTGAACCAAAATTTTCAAAGCTACAATTCAAACTTTAGATCTATCAAATTGGTAAACCCCTACCATTTGTCTCTCTTACAAATTCATACACATACATAGAAAGATGAACAAAATGAATATCTAGAAACCATATGAAGATTAGAAAATTCAACACAAACATACATATAAATCCCAAATTTAATTGGTAATTTCTCACCCACTATTCCACCGACGAAGAAAGGAGGCTACCGATCACCACCTTCGCAGCCCCTCCATTCTACGCCTCCCTCTGATCGTGTAGAACCACCAAACACTCACCATTTCACCCACTACTCTGCTGACCCCCTTAATCGATGGTAACAACCTCGTCAAAGGCTTAACAGACGAGAAGAAACTCACATCCTAACCCTCAGAAATAAAAACCTTAGCCGCCAAGAAACCCTAACTTTAGAGTTTGCAGCAGCTCAAATCAAGTTTCTTTTGGGTTTATAGTCATCCCACTGGATACTTGCATCTGGATATGTAGGCGGTGACAGGTGGTCGGAGACAACAACATTGATGGGTGCTGAAACGGCGACAAGTAGTGGTAGCACATCAACTCTGTTGCTTCCATCTTCCCAATACAGTGATGATCGCAAAGAAAAGAAGGAGCAAGGATTGGGGTTTGTTTGGGGCTGCTCAGATCAACAGAAAAGAAAGAAGATGGGGTGAGGCTAGAATGGTTCTATGGTGGGCGGAGATGTAGCGGTTCACGGTGGAGTTTGGTAGTCGAATGGAGGCTAGCAGGTGGTGCGGTGGCTATCTCCAGATTGTCGGAGGTAGCACAACCTCTTCTTGTTCGTTGAAATCAGGAACGAGAGAAAGAAATGGGTATATGACCCGGAGAGAGAGAGAGAGAGAGAGAGAGAGAGAGAGAGAGAGAGAGAGAGAGAGAAAGAGAGAGAGAGAGAGAGATTTATTTTTTTAATTAGTTAAATAAATAAATAAGTATTTAGATTTTAAAAAAATGAAAGAAATGAAAAATAAATGAAAAATAAATAACATAAGGGTATTACCGTCATTCCACTTTTTAGGGGGACCAAAAACGCAATGAAACTAGCTCAAAAGGACCATCAATCCAAAAAATGCGTGGTTTGGACTAAAACCCCAAAAAAATGCATACCACAGGGACCATTTTTGCAATTTTGTCTATTAACTATTTATTTTCTATTTCTCATTTAAAACTGGCATTAAGTATTTATAGAAATTTATTATAATTATTAATTGATTTGTTTGGTTGAATATTACATATTTATAGAAATTTTTTATAATTATTAATTGATTGTTTGGTTGAATGTTTTAATAGATAAGGGACGATGCATATTATCCATTTATAACTCTTAATTTTTTTTGTAAACTTTATATAAGGGTAAACTAGGTTAAAACCCGTGGAAACCACGGATAAAAGATTTATAAAAATTTATTAAACTAATAAGATATATAAGTTTTGTTTAGACTTTTATAAATTTGAATAGAGTGTAAAAACACACAATCAATCATGCAAATGACATGGATATACGACTAATCAAATATTTGCAAAAAAATAATTAATTTACTAAGATAGAAGTTTTGTTTATAAGTTTACAATAATTAATTAAAAATAATATATACATTATTATGAATATTCGATCCGTTATTTGAAAACATTTTTTTTCATGGTGTTTCTCATCATGACTACATAACTTATTCTCAAATATGGTTATTTGCATCTAAAATGTTAAGCCCGTGCTTAAATATATTTAAACTCTTGACTTTGAAATTTGAATAAGCATTGACTTTTTTTTATTTTAGTAAAACTCATTTCTAGAATCTAGATGAAAACTCACATTATAATTCAAGCCTTATCATGTCAATTCAATTCAATTATTCAGTGATCTTATCGAATTTAATAAAAAATCAAACAAACCATAAGAAAGACAAATTATACAAGCATCAGATATACATGTGTCCAAGATAAAAACACAAACAAACATAATACTAACTACATCAAGAATCAAATCAACAATAATCCTAATTGAATTCATCCATAAACCACCATATGAATCCACCTTACAGAAACTCAAATAAACTATAGCACACACTTTTATGTGCTGAAATGAAAACTCAACTTCTATCTTCCTGTGTATCGGGTGTTGCCTGTCAATAATGAAAAAACATTAAAAGAGATTCAAAATTTGCATAAAAAGATATATCACAATTGGTCAGCTCACTACAAAAAGACAATTATGTCAAGGTTAAATGTTGTGATGTAAAATATTAACAAACCTAAACCCAAACCAAAACCAAGCTGAATCAAACATAAAAAAGTCAATTAATAGCAAATTTTATCATGAAAAAAGAACCAGATGTAATTCAAAACTTGATATATTATATATTTTTAATTTGATGAACTGAAAACTCAATGGTTAAAAAGAACCTAGAAGGTTGAATACATGTTTTGGTCTAAGTGTTTGTTTTTAATTCCCATTCTCAATTCCATTCTCTACTGTATTTGGCTTATGGTTAACACCAAATCAGTAGATGTGACAACAAATTAGATTCTACTGTTTAAACATCACTGTAGACTAAAAAATAAGATCAAAGACTTAATCAGGTAATTAAAAATTGAAATAATACAACAAACTCAAAATCTTTAGAATAATTACATCATTGAATTGTTGGAATGTTGAGATGTTCGATGACCGTAGTTAGTATACCACAGATCTTTCAGGTGAGAAAGAAAGTCCACAATAACCATGGTGGTGAAGGAGGAAGGGAGTGGATCAAATGTTTCCCCTAAAGGCTTTGAAAACTTGCTGCAACAACTAAAACAAATCAATATGGCCACTATTAAAAGCATACTAAATTTTTTCCTATATTTTTCTTTTTTCCAAAAAATTTACCTCATTCAATTTCTAAACGAAACTGAACAGTACAATGTCGTAAGATGAAAAAAAACCTAAAACTACAATGTTGGAATGAAAGGACTCAACAATTAGATCCAGAGCTAGATTTACCTTAAATAAATGTTAGAGGCATTTTTAATAGCCAGCTGAAAGGTTGCCATCAGTATTCAATATCGTTTTTAATATGAGCTCTCATTTTAGTTTTTTATTAATTTTTTCCTTGAATAAAAAACATGCATACACATATACAATGTCAGCAACTTCCTTATTAAGTAGACAAATTATGACCACAATAAAAGAAATTTGCAATTAATATTTTACGCCCATAATAGTAACATACATATATATATTGAAAGTGTATATAATAAATGTAAGTACATTGCTATTATCTGTAAAAAAAAAATATAAGTACAATGATATTATGAGTTCAAATTATAAATAAGATCCCCATATTTGTACGAAAACCTAAATCTCAAACCTCATGATTTCCGTAGACAAAAAAATAAAGATTACCAGCAACCAACAATCAAAATCTTAAGTGAGAGTGGTAAAATAAGAAAAAAGATCAAAAGAATGGTGAATGGGAGAGATGATGGTGGTGAATATGACCGACGTAAAGTTTTGTTGAAAGAGAGAGATTTTTGAAATTGGAATGTTTCATGAGAAAAAATGATTCGACTTCTCATCTTTAGTAGTCTATATTATAGAGAGAAACCGGGAGATAAAAAAGGAAGAAATAAATTGATTTTGTTGATGATTTATTGCTGATTTATAGGGATTTCCGTTTGAACTTTGAATTTGATTTTAGGGTGGAGAGGAGGAAACATAATAGAAGGGGGCAGAAGCAGCTATTAAGATAGAGAAGGGCAATTTCGGTGTTTCAGTTTGCTAACAAGAGCGGGAAAAATAGATTTTAGAGGCTTAGAGAATGCCACGTGGCAATGAAAGTACTTATTTATTAGGATTAGGATAGGGGATATGTCAAAACAACTTATTTTAAGTGGAAGAATCATATGTACAGGTGGAAATATAATACCCTAATACTTTGGGTTAACGATCATCCCACTCCTGATGAAGACGATGATCTGAAAGCACCACCACCAACCTCTCTTCGTTGACGCTGGACCAACACACTGTCGTTGGCCTGGGCGTCGCTGCTTCTGCAATCACAACCGCTTCCTCGATCACCGCCGCTTCTGCGATCGCCGCCGCTGCATCCTCAATCCCACGGTTAGGTATTTTTTGCATATTTCATTTGTTGGTGAATTTGAAGTTATATACTGATCGATTTATTGCAAAATCATTGCCCAAACTGCTAGGGTTTATCAAATTTGAATGATGGATCTTTTGCTATCTGTTCAGCTAATTCCTTAATGCTAGGGTCAAACTTTCCTTCTTTTAATGTGTAAGAATGCCATTTGGAAATAACTAGACCTGTAGGACACATTTCTAACATATGTACATTAAAGTATCAAATGTACTGAATGCACTCAGAGGCTTTCTATGCTCCCCAAAATTCAATGTTGATAGTGAGGTCTTATTGCCCTACTGTAATTTCCATGATGCAACACAACACAACACCTGATTAAATTGGTTTTTAATCTTTACCATTTTTGTGTACCCTGTAAACTGTTACCCAAAGTTCCTTCATCTGTTTGTTGAAACCACAAAATACTAAATAGCATTAGCTAATATCTCATTAGGGGGGTGTTTGGCGTTTGCTTTGTAAAATGATGAAATTTGAAAGAATCATAATTTGACACGTATTATTATTACTATTAACTTGTAGGAAATCTAATAATAAAAAGTTAAAAAAACTACTTTATTTTATATTCTTATTTAGAATGAATTGAGTAGAGCTGACTTCTTCCAATTTTGGTCCTTTATTTGAGGTTCTTGTAATGCTTTTGGTCCCTGTTTCACATAAAATGAGTATTTTTGGTTCTTGAGTATGTCTGATTTTTGCAATATTGATCTTAAAAATATAGTTATTGTACTTCGGAAACAACGTTTCAAAACCACAAATAATGGTAAAATTCATTATTTTTGGGACCAGAATTGAAAATTCATCTATACTCAAAGAGACAAAAAATGTAATTTACTCTTATATTTGCATATATAAAATTTCTTTGTTTATCGTAGACTTTAACTTTTTATTGTAATTTACTTAGGAAACTCACCCATGACCCAACTTATGTGTTTGTGCCTTGTTTATTCTTTTCATCTTTTCTTCTGCACATTGTTATTTCTTATATTAGCCTAAACACAACAGTCTAAAGTTGTAATATAACCCATTTTATTTTAATTCTTTATGACAGTATTTTTTTTTAATAAAATTTCATGATTTTAATTAAATAACGCAAAAACTAATATTATTTTTATAATTGTATTTAGGATTTTTTAATGTTGCCTACTTTAAACATTTCCAACTCATATACTCAATTTTATTTTTATAAGACATTGAACTTGAAAAAATTGCTAATTTTTATTGGAAAAAAACTTCCTACATGTTTGATAAATTACGAAAACCTTTATCTATATTGCATTCCAACAATCAATTTCACTCTCTTTGATTGTCATTCGTCAATTTGAACAAGTATGTATTTGGTAATTTCTACTTGCAAGCTACTTGTTTGATGAATTACTAATATACCCTCATTTTACTAGTACCCCGTGAAAAAGATGTGAATACCCTTTTCTTGAAAACAAATTACCTCTTCAAATTGCAGTCATGAGGTTGCCATCTCCAATACTGATACTCCAAATCAGGCCTTCAATGTTTGTGACAAGCTAATTGATCAGACATGTATGGGCATTCAGTCATGAGGATATGAAGTGTTGTCAAATACCCATTTTCCTTTAAACAAATCGCATGAATTCTTCTTTTCTTCTTCTCGTTTATCAGAATAAAACAAAATATAAAGTACATTGCTATTGTGGGTAAAAGATAAAGTAAATTTATGGAAAATGATAAAAAAAAGTTGGTTACCCTTAATGGCCTAACATGCTTTTTATTCATTGAATCCTTACTTTTACCTTTTAGTTAAAACAATTTTTCACTACCACACCATAATATTTTGGACTGCTTTAAATTGTTACATATTGTATTATCAATAAAGAAATGCATGTAAATTGCTATTATATGTAAATAAATGAAATTTGTTGCTATTATGGATTAATTATGGATCTCAACTATTTGCGTCCACCATCTTGATTGATAATTATGTAGAGCATGTGTGATTTGAGGAGAAAGAGCCATGCAAAGATGGAAGAGCCCCATGTTAATTGGACAAAATCATTTGTTTGACTTGCTCACGCAGAGGTATTATTATATTTTATTATTTTGACTTATATTATCGTTATTTTTTTAATTTATTTATTTTTCATCAAACATAACTACACCTTGTTATAGGCATTGAAGAATGGTGTATATCCCACACGAGGACAAATATATGTAAAAAACCCGCACTCGTAAAAATGGAAATATCGTGAATGAAAAAGTCGCTCAAGTTATGGTAATGATTTCCCTGGACATTATATATACACGTTTTTAATCATATCAAGTCATATTAGAAACATACTTTTAAACCTTGTTATTTGTCCCACTTTCAAAGTATTAGAAACATACTTTTAAAGTAGGTTGTTATACTATGATAGTATAGCAACCACTTTCAAAGTATGTTGCTATTAATTTGAAAGTGGGACAAAAATAGTGGGTTAGAAACACTTGTCATGTTTTTTGTATGTTGCTATTATGCAGACTTCCCTACAAGTCGTTGCAAGCGATTCCTCAAATACCCAAAGATCAAGTACCCTAGGATCTGTAGATGATTTATCAAATGATGACTACTCTAAAGTTAAAGGTTCTGAAAAAAGACGGTATATCGGATGTGTTGGAAGGATGCCTATCGTAAAAGAGAAGGTTGTTTCTTGTTCTAATGATCTGAGTGTCGAACAACTAAAAACTATGATGAACGTTATGGCGAATATCATCCAAGAACATATCCCAAATGCAAACTTGTTTGGAATTCTTAGCAATATGAATATACAGGTACATATGTCATCTATAATTGCATTGTTCCTTTTCAATTCCCCTATGAACAAAACAACATTCATTAAAATTAGTCCATTATCATATTCCCAATTGGACTAAAAAATGACTACTTTTGCCCTTTTGAATAATCTTCTTGGTGCACATATGCATCTTCTTAAACGCATTCTTCGTGTTCATTTGTACAAGACTAGTAGAAGGTATCGAGAGTTGGACATTAATGATATATGTTTTTATTAATTTGTTTCAGATGTCAAGTAGCACTTCTACAGCTCCATGCAACTCTAATTCAGTTAACCAGAGAGCATCTTCTGAAAGTCATCATAACGATGGTAATCATTTTATGAGCTTTTATCTTTCCTTTGTTCTTATAAATATAGTTTATTTGTTTTGAGTGTTATATTATTTATTTTCTAAAGTAAGCCTTATTTTACTGGATTCTGGATTATCTTTGTTTGTTTTTTGCACAGGGAATTGCTAGCATTGATTATAGAGTATGAGATACCACAATTTATTCAACATATCATGTCATTGTTTTTTATTTTATTTTATTTTTATATGCATGTTTTAACTTTTGTTCATTACTTTATGTTTAGCATGTACTTAGACATATTTGATATTTACCAAGATATTTGATTCCAAAAGTTAAAAAAAAAATTGATGAAAAACAATGAAATTCTGATTATTTTCAATGTGCTACAATTTAATTATTCATTTTATTTTATATTATAGATGAAATTGTATTGCGGCAAATAAAATTGTCACTAAAATCTTAAAATTTGTAACTAAAAGTAGTATGAATTTTTTAAATCACATGAGCTTTTAATGGCATAAAATATATGCCACAAAAAATTTTCTTCTGCTATGACACATAAAAAATGCCACTATTTTTTATTGTGGTAAATAAAAAAGTGTCACTAAAATCTTAAAATGTGTAACTAAAAGTAACATAAATTATTAAATCAAATCAGATTTAGTGGCACAAAATATGTGCCACAAAAGAAATTTGTTTTACTGTGACAAATAAAAAAGTGTCACTAAAAATGTAGCACCTGGTTCTTGGTACGTATTCTTTGTATTCTTGGTACGTATTCTTTGTAATTACCTCTTTAAATATTGCATTTTTGGCCTTGGACTCGGCGAAGCGGGATAAGACGCAGGGTCTAAGCTGTGGACTCAGCAAATCGGTTCCCGGACTCGGCGAGTAGACCCTGTTTGGGAAAAAACCCTAATTCAAGGGTTTGCACCCTATTTAAACTCTCTAACTCGGCCTCCCTTGTCCCTAACACTTCCAGAGAGTTGTAGAGCGAAACTAGGGGTGAGCAAAAACCGAACTGCAAACCATAAAAACCGAAAAAACCGCATAAACCGAAACCGAAAAGCCAAAACCGTAATGAAAACCGATGGTGCGGTTTTTAGTTCTGTAAAAACCAAAAATACTCGGTGCGGTGCGGTTTCTAGTCTCGCAAAAAACCGAACCGCACCGCATATATATATATATATATATATATATATATATATATATATATATATATATATATATATATATATTAAGTGTTGATATTTGTAAGAACCAAGAACTTATGACAATTAAAATTTCTATAAACGTAAATATCTATCTTATCTATCGGAGGATGATTGTATATTTTTAAGCATACATTCAGTGGTATTTACAATAACAAATAATGTTTATGATATTTTTTTAACATTTAAATATGAAGAGTATTAGTGATATAGTATCATTTTTATGAATACATTAATTGATATTATCGTATGTACTTGTGAAACAAATATTATATTAAATTCGCATTATATTGAAGCATTAGAAACATGTTGAATGAGTGGTTAAGTAATTTGAATTCAAACCAATAGGTTGTGATATGGATTTATCTCAAATAAATGATTACCACTCCTCATCTGAGTCAAAGTAACTCGTTAAGTTACTTGAGTTATAGTAAAAAGGCAAAACAAGAAAAAAACCCGCAAAAAAAACCGAACCGCAAAAAACCGCAATGAAAAACCGCAAAAACCGAACCGCATAAAACCGAACGGTGCGGTTTCTAAATTTCAAAAAACCGAAGTTGCGGTTTTCGGTTCGGTTTTGACCAAAAACCGCACCAAACCGCACCATGCTCACCCCTAAGCGAAACCCAAGCCCCCATATTGTTCTTGTGAGTGATTTTTGGCTTTGTGAAGGAAGTTTGGAGCTTAGAAGAAGAAGGAGGAGGTTGAGGAGCACAAGGAGGGGAAGTAGATCTGAAATCTACACTGTGAGAGGCTTCCATTCAGGTAGAAAAGTTTCTACCTTGATCACTAGTTCATTATAGCCCCCTTTAGTCCCTAATTGGTGGTTTTTACGCCCTAAAACCTCAAACTCCATGTGTTTATGCTCTATGTTCTTAAAGGACTTCAGATCTGGACCTTATGGACATCTTAGAAGTGTAAAGTCTCAGTAGTTGGAGTGATTGAGGTCCCTATTGAGTGTATGACCTCATAAAGAGCTTGGAATTGCCTTTTGGAGCTCATAGGGCCATGCATGCACGTAAAGTTTGCAACTTTACGTGATAAGCATGCCTTAGGAACCTAGATCTATGGTTTGGAACCGTTGGATGTCTCAGATTTGGTTTATAAGGGAGGAGGGCTTAAGGGACTCGACGAGTTCCAAAGTGGACTCGGCGAGTTCTATGAAGATGGTCTTAGACTCGACGAGTTGGATGAACAACTCGGCGAGTCCTATGAAGATTGCCTGGAACTCGACGAGTTTTTCTTCGAACTCGGCAAGTCATATGAACTGTTACTGAGTTAAGATGGGTTTAAGTGTAGAAGGTCCAACCCTTCGTAGCTACATGCGGAATTAGCAATTTAACGTGTAGCAATTGTCCCAGAAACCCAAAATCCTCAAGATGGATGCTCTGGTGAGGATTTGGAAGCGAGTAGGAGATCTGCTCGTGGGACTTGGCGAGTTGTTCTCGGACTCGGCAAGTCGAATCGCGAGTCGGTTCAATCGTCCCAAGTAGTGAGTTAAGGGTGACTCAGTGAGTAGAAAAGGGACTTGATGAGTCAGTGCTGGGATAATAGGAGAGGGAGTCGGCGAGTCTGTGCCATGACTCGGCGAGTCCAGTCAACTGGAAGTTGACTTTGACTAAGGAGTTGACCTTGGACCAGGGGTAGGTCAGTCATTTGACCTAAGGGTATTTAGGAGTGATTAATCTATGTTTATGGATTTATAGCCGGAGGATTACCGGTGCAGCAGTCAGTCGTCTAGCAAGCAGACTTTCAGCAGCTACTTTTCGAGGTGAGTTACCTTCCAGTAGCGGTGGGTCTACGGCCACAATATCGACCCATCATTAGGAGTTGTATGTTAGATGATTATCTTTGTGATATTCATCTAAGTTTGCTACTACTTGATATGTTTATATGCTAGTATGTTATGATGTTATGTGATAGTGACAGTAGTAGGGGTGAAATAGTCCCTGATTACCGGTCGATAGGACCGAAGGGGAGGCCAGCACCCAGATATGCTAGGCGGTATCCAGTCGAAAGGACCGAAGAGGAGGCCAGCACCCAGATATGCTAGGCAGTGTCCGGTCGAAAGGACCGAATGGGTGGCCAGCACCCAGATATGCTAGGCAGTATCCGATCGAAAGGACCGAAGGGGTAGGTCAGGCACCCAGATATGCCTGATAGTATTTGTACGTTATGTGATTGTATGGTATGTGGTACGATGAGGGAACTCACTAAGCTTCGTGCTTACAATTTACAGTTTTGTTTTCAGGTACCTCATCTTCGAAGGGGAAAGAGCTGGCGCGGTAGCGGCACATCATACACGCACATTGTTTTCCGTACCATGAGTTATTCTGGGATTTGTACTCTGACATTATGGTTGTCTTATATTTTGGTTTTCAGACACGAAATATGTTTATGAAATGATAGGATCAAACGATGTTTATTCACAAATGTTTTCCAAAGTATTGATTTAAAAATGAAATTTTTTGACGTGAAAATTAGGTCGTTACAAAAAGCCGAAAAACTGCAGCAGCAAAAACAAAAAGTGCCACTAAAAGGTTTTAGTGGGAGCGTTTCTGGTGGCATTTATTAAGTGTGCCGCTGATTCTTTGAGAAGCCTTTAGTGGCATTTTTTTGGGTTTTTAGTGGCACTTTTTGTATGCCACTAAATGACATATTTTTTGTAGTGGATGATTGTGTTTTTCTTCAAATTCATATAACAACCATTTGGTAGTCCAGGAAAAAATTTATATCGTATACGTGCCTTGCATTCGGTCCTACTAGTGTCAACCCTTCTCTTAATTTTACTTGTTTTTGGGTCCAAAGTATCAACAGGAGATGTATTTGGGAAACCTTCCCTATTACATAGCAGATATTTGATGTACACTATACCACGCTTTTTTTGTTTATTGACTTTCTAACATCAAAACCTGGCACATGCATATCTTTTGTACATGTCTTCAATTGCATCATCAGATGGGTATTTATGGTTTATTATTGGCTTAAGATCATGAGGGACATAAGGAATCCAATACAATTTACCAGCTAATACCAAGTGTTGATCAATGTCTATAACATCTAATAACCATGACAAGTTAATAACATAATACAAATAACAAATCAACAAATCAAATAAACTTAAATAGATATTATACGATACTGAAATGTCAATTAATGAAATAAGCTTAAATAGATAGTATACGATACTGAAATGTCAATTTTTTGATAGTATTCTAACAATATACAAAATTGTGTAATGTAATCGACACATTTTCAACAAACTTAAAAAAAAAAAAAAAAAAAAAAAAAAAAAAAAAAAAAAAAAAAAAAAAAAAAAACCAGAAACTTGAATAGATTGATGAATATTTTCAAGAAATGTGAAATCCAGTTGATTGTGGTCATCCATGATGTTGACTTTTCCGAATCCGGTATTATCATCATCAGTCGAACAAAATTCATCATCACTTGACAAAAAAATCGTCCTCGACTGATGCAGTTTGAGCGTAATTGATCTCGTCCTCTTCATTGATCTCGTTTATATCATCAAACTCGTTGCAGAATGATAAATATTGATGACTGACACACACGATTGATGATTGAAGAATTAATAAATGTTTGATAGAGATAATATAAAATGTTCCTTAATTATAGGAGTTTGATTGATATATTCTTTAAAATTGATTAAACAATCAAACCTTGCATTTATTAATGTAAAATATTATAATTTTTATAATTAATTAATTATATATATTGATTGGCTATGACTTGTCTTCATGTTCTCACTTTAAAAATAGTTCTCATTTGAACTTAAATATATATATATATATATATATATATATATATATATATATATATATATATATATATATATTGAAAAAAAAATGTTAAGGATTAAATATGTACAAAAATATTAAAGACTAAATGTGTACAAAATGAAAAATATATTACCTTTTTAAGTCATTTTTCCCGTCTAACTTGGAGTAACCATAAGAACCGAATGTCTACAGTTTAATAAGTTGAAGGAGAAAATGTGGACGAAAAAAAACTCAGTGACCAAATGTGTACAAATCGAAAAATACATTATCCTTTTAAGTCATTAGCCCTATTACTCCCTCCGTCCCAAAATTATAGTTCATATTTCCTTTTTGGTTTGTCCCAAAATAATAGTAAATTTCTAAAAATAAATAACATTTTTACTAAAATACTCTCTCATTATTACTTAACCAACTAAGAATTTAATTGGACATTAAATTCAAACTAAGAACAAAACTGTCATTTTATTATATAAAGTTAGGGTAATTAATGTGTTATTTTATCATTTTATTAAATAATCTTAACTACTAGTCCTCCCCAGTCTTATTGCTTGTGAACAATATTCCATAATCCCATGGAAATCGAGATTATGGGAATCGACTCTATCCAATATCGATTATCTTATCAACTCTATCCAATATATATTATCGTTTTCAAAATTCAAACTTCCATGATCCTTATCCGACTATCACTATTTTTCTTATTTTGTTTTCACCGTAATAATGGGTTGCGGCACTTACTTTCTCATCCTGCCACTCTAACCTTTCCTCCGCTCTCAGCCACCACTGGTGAATCCAAAATGACGATTTTATCAAAAAAATTCAATGTAGTTCTCCTCCACTTCTTCCTCTTCATTGCACCATCTACAGCCTAAATCATATCTCTGAATCTTCGATCCAATAACCGACATAAGATCCTCATCTCGGAGTTCAAGTTCTCAAATGACGGTTACATTTCCTTCGTGATCTCCTCCGTGACTGCAACCTCCACCTCATCACGACCTGATCCTTCACGTTTTGGTTTCATCCTTCAATCTCCTAAAGTGAGAAACCGCTTCAAATTCCAACAAAACACTATTTGCCCATTGGATTTCAAACTAAACACACTCCTCTTTAATTTCCAAGATCTTTCCCATGATCCTCAGACTTCCTTCAACAAAACGTACACTATTACAAATCCTGGTATGAACTCACTCTTCTTTGTCAATTGCAACTATGAATCCGTCGTAACCATGGATGGTCGCGTAGCGCTCTACAACACCAATGACGGGACTACCAAAAACTATTTATCCGGAGAGCTAAGGCAGCTTCCGTTTCTTTACATCTTTTCCGCCTTCATTTATGTGTGTTTTCTAGGGTTTTGGATTTTAGTATGCTTCAAGAACCAAAGATCTTTTCACAGGGTGCATTTACTAATGGGTATGTTGCTTGTTATGAATTTGGTTGTTTTAATCTCTGCGGCAGCGGATCTATATTATGTGAAGTTTACAGGTACTCCTCATGGATCGGATGTCTTATATCACATGTGTAAGTTTGTCAGGACTGTGCTTTTGTTCACCTTAATTGTGCTGATTGGTAATGGATACTGTTTCTGGAAGCCATTTTTGGAAGTAAAGGAAAAGTTGGTTTTGATGATTGTGATCCTACTTCAGGTTTGGGCTAATGTGTATGCTATATTTGAATGGAAAGCCGGACCTTATAATAATGAAGAGGACTTCGTTGATTCTCTAAGTATAGATTTCATCTGTTGCTTTGTTATTTTCGTCCCAATATGGTTTTCGGTTATCTGGTTTAATAAGGATAATCATGAGACTGAGGGCAATGATGTTATGAATAGGGTAAGGCTGTGTCTATTTGGGTTTGCGGTTTTTGCATACGTGTTCTTTACGAGGTTTTTGATGGTTGCATTTTTGATACCATCGAATCATGGGGTACAGGAAATAAGCCTTCTTGTGTTATGTATGGTGGTGTTTTACATTTTCCGGCCATCTGATGAGGATTGTGATGGCAAAGCAGTCGAGATGGCTGCATGGAAATCGGACATACCTTCTCTTTGTTATGCCGTTGTTGCTACTGTTTAGGTGATGCACTTTGATAAGTCAACTTAATCTTCAAAGTAGTTTGTCGGTTTGTCCTTGAACAGTAGTGGTAGGATTGTTGGGTCTTTTTCCATACTTATTTTTACATTTATCAAACTAGAATATATTAAAGACGGAATTACGAGAGTTCAAAAAGGGAAGGTTCATGCTCCACTTCTAAAATCGACGATTTCTCACATGTGAGCCCTTGTTTCCTCCGATTTCTTGGAGTTGTTTTGTATAGGGATTTAAAGTTGTTTATTTTATAGATTTAGACCTAATTCTTTTCTACAAAAGAGTTTGATTGAGAATCAGTTTGAAACACAATCCAACAAAATACTATTAGATCGACTTCTTCTCTTTATTTTTCCATAAAACCTTATCAATTTGGTTATGTTTGTTAGAATCAGTTCACGAAATTTTGTCATGTTAGATTTTCAGGGTAATAAAGGCACTTGGATATTCTGAGAATTGTGATTTCACTTTCAAATCAAAGTATTTGGTTAGTACTCCCTAATCTTTGACTGGATAAAACTCAGAAGAGAATAAGAATATAGAATGAGATGTATCAATTTCATAAGTACTAAAAAACTAACCAAAAATTGGTTAAATATATTCTTTGTCTGAAAACTGTCATAAACAGTTTTTCTAACAATCAAAAATTGTCATAAATCTGGGTTTCCTATACGGATCAATGCAAAGCCAAAAAAAACAGGTCAAATATTCAAAATTTGGTTTTCTATATGGATTTCTGCAAAGATCGACCCCAATCAGGGGCTCTTCCCCTTGGACCTCGCTCACAGGGGCGCTGCCCCCGGACCCCCGTTTAGGGGCTTCGCCCCTAAATAACAGTCTACTTTTAAACTTGAATAAACTTAAACAAGTGTGCACTCCGCACCTTCCTTACTTGTTTAATATTCATCAAGATTGATTTTTAGTTAACAAGTCAACCCATTACACTTAAATACAATTAGTGAAACAAACCACCAACATGTCAGCTTGTTGTTTTATGGTGGATATGGAAAAACATACACTTTCTTGTTCAGGGGCATATTTGTCTAAATATATAAAACATAAATAATATACATAATATTCTTTACATACATACATATACATAACATATATTACATATTACATGTTTATCTTAATTTTTAAAAATTAAATGGTTAAGTTTTTGTTCAAGGACAACTTTGTCCAGGGGCAAATATGTCCGAAAAATAGAAGACATACAAAACATACAAAGAACGGCTCCAAAACATATAGAAAGTCCTATAGAAGTATAATAATGATCTAATTTGATAATATAATCATTAATGCCTATCGACCCATCATCAAGGAAGATGATTAGCCTTAATGTCGTTGGATAGTATGTATATATAATATATATTCAAACAGAGTTATATGTTAAGTATGATACTAATGGTATTAGTGTTATTTTTTTCTAGATTTACACGTTTCGAAGTTGTCCATGTTGTCACTTCTACATAGAGGTCGATGTTTAATGGCCCACGGATCTCATGGAGGAATGTTGATTCGATTAACCATGAGGCACTTTGCAAGCACTTAAAGGTTTGAACTTAGTAATGTTTTTAATTTTAAAATACTAGATCTTGTTGTATAGGATATAGCTAATTGTATGATTAAGATTTGTGTAGGGATTTTATCAATGGGAAGCTAAGTACACTGATAAACTTATTAAAGTTGCATGGGAGAATGTCATTAAAAAACATTTTTCTGACACTCTGAAAAATGCACAAGATGTATCTGTTAAACTTGCAAAGGCTAAAAATGCCAATGTATCATTAGAAGGTGATTTATCCATTGTAAAGTCGTTTTCTCCTAGAATGGATAAGATCAGAATATTGAGAAGAAATTATTGATAAATTTTGGAATACGGACAAATGGGAAAAAAAATCGAATTCTGCAAAGCAAAATAGAAACAAAATGGAACATGGTTCAATTTCCAAACATTGTTACGGTTCTATCCCAAATTCACATCATAGAGATATATTGCCAAGATATTTTGTAAAATGTGTCAGCTTTGTTTGGTGGTATGTGTAACGTCCGTGTTTCTGGGCTAGGCATTAATGTTGTTGTAATAGTCTAGGTTAACCTTTGTAACTCATTTTGAAATAATAAGAATGTATTATTTGAGTATTATGTGCTTTATGTTTAACTGTGTGGCTTAATTGAATTAAGAATAAAAATAAGCGTAAAACCAAAATGTTAGATAAAACCGATATTGATACATGACGACGTAGTGATCGTGACAAGGATTCCGAATTTATAAAGAATGTCGAAATCCGAGTTTTAACGAAGAAGTTATAACGGCAAGACACTGTATGATGTAAATAGTGAATTTACGATAGAGTAATATTTAGCTTTAGTGATTTAAACGAAAGTCGTAGAATACCTTAAACCGAGAGTGTGCATAAAAAGAACGTCTAAATCTGACTTCGTATAACGAAGTTATGATTTTTCTAAGTTCCGACTTAACAATATGCAGCCCGAAACTCGAATTTTAGATCGAGTGATTTTAAGTCGAAACAATCTAAACAAGAATCGAAGATCTCGTCGATAGTAATCCAACAGTGAAAAGACAGATGAAAACGGACGTCGGATGAAAAAGTTATGAATTTCTAACGGAGTTTTTCTGTCCCGACCTACTAAAAATAATATAATAAAAATAAAGTCAAAATTAGTCGACGGATTCTAAATGAAAGTTGTAGATCATATTCTCACCTACGCGTGGATATAAAGATCGTCAAAAACAGAGCTCGTATGCGAAAGTTACGAATTTTGGAAGTTTGGAAATACGAAGTACGCCCAGCATAAGGGTGTACGCCTAGCGTACTCATGTTCTTGGCCTCGGATGAGCCACGTCGCCCTTCGCATTATGCCTTGTGTCCGAAACCAAGTATGCCCAGCGTACTTCGGCCTGGTGTAGTCCGAGAGAGAGCCGCGTAACACCACCCGAAGTTCGCCACTTGGAAGCCTGATCCAAACTACGCCCCGCGTAGAGCTTCATACGCCCAACATACGTGCGAGGTTCATCCCCTATAAAAGCATGCGAGGGTTGCCGATCTTTTTTGCCAAATTTCTTTTCTCTCGCTTGTTTTACCTCGTTTTACGTGCAAGTTATACCCCCGAAGCCCCGATTTCATCCCGACACCCGAAGCAAGTCCCGAAGCCCCGATGATCCCAAGAAAAAGAGTTTCCGAGCCGAAGCTCTGCCCACGAGAAGTCTAGTGTGCGAAGATCTTCCGGTTTCACCGAAGAATACTGCTTTTAAAGCCGAAGTGATGTCCGAGCATAGTCTTATCAAGTGAGTGTGTAGTTACTTTCTTCTAACACATAAATACGAAGTATTCACTATAAAATACGTGTTGTGTGTTTATATGTTATGTGTTATTTGAAATGAGTATTGACTGAATGTTTTATACATGTTCTCTCTCTCTCTCTCTCTCTATATATATATATATATATATATATATATATATATATATATATAAAGATGTTGGGTAGAACATGGGTAGATAGTGGTTGTATGATGAAATAAAATGATGAGAGGCCTCGATGTTGTTAATGATCTAGTCATCTAGCGGAGTATGGATGACGACCACGGACTCTTTCTAGACAGTCTAGTGGAACGCTGGCAGGTTCATAACCTGTAGGTGTTGTGAAAGATGTGTTCACTGGTGTACTCTATCCCCCTCATGGTTGCCTTTAGGACATCTATTGTTGAGGAAACTCCTTTGCAATAATGTCCATCCCGATGAAAATCCTATATTAGGTCCCTTGTAATACTTGTTGTCATAGGGACGTAAAGTGAGGATAACGGGAATGGATAATCGGGTTATTGTTGGTTGGTGAAATTAAATATAATTATTTACTGTGGGTTGAAAACCCTATATACTCACCAGGCTCCCAAGCCTGACCCACTCAGTTTTATTTGTATTACAGGTAGTGGCGAGAGCATAAGTTGGACAACTTCTGAAGATATTTTGTTTATAGGCCAGTAGTTGTGTATAACTTTTGTAAGGCTTATAATATGTCGTTTATGCTTTTGTGTCTATATCGGAACATGACATCCCGAGTTTTTATATATAATGAAAATACATTTCTTTAAGGAATGCTTTAATAAATTTTATTTATCATATTTTGTTTTGGGAACAAATTCCGCAACTCTTTTAAATCAAAGGATTACTCTGAAAATTATTTTAACAGCATAAATGAAACCAATCTTTTTTGGCCATGATTTTGGGGATGTCACAATATGTGTCTCATTTCTTGAAAAGTTTGTAGGAATCAAAGCTAAAACACCCAACTACTCAGCTTGAACTTTTTTAAAAAACACACCGAACTAAAAACCCAAAAGAAGACACTTCAAATACCGAGTACATTAAACCTAAAACCAGAATAGTTGTGGTATTCGTTGTATCCTTAATAATTTAATTAATTATTCTTTGATGATATATATTTACTTTTAATATAAACTAATTGGTTTATGATAATATAGAATGCATATAAGGACGTTATGGTGGCTAGATATGACGATGATAGTGATAGTCATCCCCCTTATGATCATGAATTATGGGTTGAAGCTAGTGGAGGGATCAAGAAAGGAATAGTGCTTGGACTTGGTTTTGTGTCTGATCCAGAAAGGTTTTTGATGCCATCTTTAGCAGCCCCAAGTACATCTTCAGACAACTTAGAGGTTTGTATAGTCTCTTTTGCTGACCTGTTTTATAATTTTCTTGTTTTCCTATTTTCCTCCTTGAAAGTAGAATGTTGATCTGTTTTTATAATTTCCTCCTTGAAAGTACAATGTTGTTATTGGTTGGTTCATCTTGAAATTGCAATGTTGTCATGTTTCCATCCTCACCTATTTTCTTGTTTTAATGTTTTCCTCCTTGAAAGTACAATATTGTTATTGGTTGGTTCATCTTGAAAGTACAATGATGTCATGTTTTCATCCTCGCTTGTTGTCTTGTTTTAATGTT